CTGACATTCACTGTAAGCAAATTCAAACTGGGTTTATGTTTTGGAACCTGGAGACCATTTGATCACAAAATCAGGACCAGAAAACAATGGTTATGCATAGACACTCCATCAAATGCCAGCTAGTGTTTGAAAATAGGTCACCTGGGAATTTTCAGTTAAAAATGGTGTACTGAAAATAGATGTTAGCTTCACTCTCTTCCACAGACCCCTCTTAAAAGGGGATTTTTTAAGATATACATACATGAGAACAAAACAAAAGTGAGAAAAGACAATAACGAGAATTTAGAAGCTAGAAATCAAATGGATGAATGAAAACTGAGGCAAGAAAAAGCTGAATCATAAGCTTACAAGAAGGAACACTGAGAAATAATCCAATTTTCATCACCAAACCCCCAAAGGCCAAGAGCATGGCATCTCTGTATGTTTAGGAGTCAGAGTGTAGGACGCAACCAAAACACAGCCGGAATAGAATGCTGAAAGACTGTTTAAGAAGCAGTTAGGGAAAACAATATGATCATCTCAATCAGTGGAGGAAAAAAATTTGTTAAAATCCAACACTCTTTGATGATAAAAACACTGATCAAACTAGGAATAGAAGAGAACTTCCTCAACCTGAAAAAGGGCATTTACTAAACCTCACAGCTAACATTGCATCCAGCGGTGGAAGACGGAAAGTTTTCCCGTTAGATCAGGAAGAAAAGGATGTCTGTTTTCACCAAGGCTATCTCAAGATGGTATTAGACGTTCTAGCCAGAGCAATTAGGCAAGGAAAAAATAAAAGGCATCAAATTGGAAATGAAGAAGTAATACTAATTCTAATCACAGATGGCAAGATATCATATATAGAAAATCCTAATCAGGGAAATGCAAATCAAAACCACAATGAAATATCAACTCACACTGGTTAAAATGCTATTACCAAAAAGACAAGAAATTACAAGTGTTGGTGAGAACATGGAGAAATGGGAACCTTTGTGCACTCTGAATGCAAAATGGTACAGTCACTATGAAAAGCAGTACAGAGTTTCCTCAAAAAATTAAAAATAGAACTACCATATGATCTAGCAATTCCACTTGTGGGTATTTATCCAAAGAAAGTGAAAACATTAATTTTAAAAGATACATGCATCAGTAGAGCATTACTTAAAATAGCCAATATATGGAAGCAACCTAAGTGCCCATCAGTAGATGAATGGATAATGATAATGTAGTGTATGTATACAATAGAATATTATTTAGCCATAAAAAAAATGAAATTTTGCCATTTGCAATAACATGGATGGACTTAGAGGATGTTATGCTGAGTGAAATAAGTCAGAGAAAGACGAATACTGTGTGATTTTGCTTATGTGTATGATCTAGGGGACAGAGAGCAAACAGAACAGAATCAGACTCAAAGATTAAGAGAACAATCTGATGGTTGCCGGAGCAGGGAATGAGGAAAATGGGGGAAAGTGATTAAAAGGTACAGGCTTCCACTTATAAAATAAGATCTATGGATGCTGTGCATGGCATAGGAACACAGTTAATGATAGGTAACACCTTTGTGTGTGATAGTGGCTAGATCTGTCACGGTGACAACTTCATAATGTACATAAATATGGAGTCAATATGTTGTACACCTGAAACTAATATAATACTATATGTCAACTATCCTTCAGTTAAAAAAGAAAGAAATCACAAAAAACTGTTAGAGCTCATGAACAAATTCAAGTAAAACTACAGGATACAAGATCAACACACAATACCACACATATTTCTATACACTAGCAATGAACAATCTGAAAATGAAATTAAGAATTAAAATTACTCTTACAATAGCATCAAAAACAACAAACAAGAATAAATTTAACCAAGGAAGTGCAAAATAACTGGTACACTGAAAATTACAAAACACCACTGAAAAAAATTAAAGACCTAAAGAGAAAGACATTCCCTGTTAATAGGCTAGAAGACAACATTGTTAACATGACAGTACTGCCTAAATGATCTACACAGTCAACACAATCTCTGTCAAAACCCCAGTGGCCTTTTTTGCAGATATGATAAAGCTAATCCTTAAATTCATATGGATCTACAATGGATTCCAAATAGCCAAAAATAATCTTGTAAGACTGAATTTGGAGGACTCACATTTCCCAATTTCAGAACTTACTACAAAACAGTGTAGCATAAGGTTAGACTTACAAACAGAACAGACTTGAGAGCCCAGAAATAAACCATTTATGGTCAACTGATTCTCTACTGGGGTGCCAAGAACATTCAATAGGGAAAGAATTGTCTCTTCAACAATGGTGCTGGGACAACTGGACATCACATGCAAAAGAATGAAGGTGGATCCTTATACCTTACACAAAAATTAACTCAAAGTGGATACAAAGCCTAAATGTAAGAACTGAAACTATAAAACTCTGAGGTAAAAACAAATCTTCAAGACCTTGATTTCACAATGGTTTCTTAGATACACCAAAAGAACGAGCAATGACAACAAAAAAATTGGGCTTCATCAAAATTAAAATGTTTGTGCATCAAAGGACACTATCAGAAATGAAGAGAAAACCCAAACAATGGAAGAAAGTATATGCAAATCATCTTACAATGCAACCAAAAGACAACCCAACTTAAAAAATGGGCAAAGGACCTGAATAGACATTTCTCTAAAGATATACAAATGGCTAACAAGGCCATGAAGATACTCAGTCATTAGTTATTAAGGAAAAGCAAACAAAAATGAGATACTACTTCACACCCACTAGGACGGCCATAATTACAAAAAAAAGGGAATATCATGTGTTGGAGAGGATGTAGAGAAATTGGAATATTCAAACATTGCTGGTGGGCACGTAAAATGGTGCAGTCACAGTGGAAAATGGTTTGGTGGTTCATCTGTAAGTTGAATACAGAGCTACCATATGACCCAGCAATTACACTCCAATGTGTATACCAGAAAGAACTGAAAACGGGTACTCAAATGCTTCTATGCAAATATTCACAACAACATTATTCATAATAGACAAAAAGTGTAAACAACTCAAATGTCCACTAACAGATGAATGGATAAGCAAACTTTGATATATTCCTACAATGGAATATTATGGTCATAAAAAAAAAGTTCTGACACATGCTACTACAAAGTATTATGCTAAGTGGAAGAGCTCAGACACAAAAGGTCACCTTTCGTATGAATCCATTTATGTAAACAATCCCAATTAGGCAAATTCACAGAGAGCAGATTAGTGCTTGCTAAGAGCAGTGGGTAATGAGGACTGACTGCTAATTGGTTCGTTTCCATTAGGGAGATAAGGTTCTGGGACTAGATGGTGGTAAACATAACACCACTAAGCTATACAGGTTACAAATGGTTAATTTTATGCTATGTATTCTGCCACAAAAAACACACAAAAATTAGCTACCTCATTGCATGGCACTGAACTCCTTCTTGCCCTCCCCCACCAAAAAATACTGGAGGATAAAACCAAGCGTTATTTAGAGTTAAGAGGAATAGTGGAGTTTTGGGATGCCTTCCTGAGAAGGGGGTAGGTGAGCATTTCCTTATTGTTGAAAGCCCAAACCATACAGTCCTACCCAACTTCTAAAATGAGGCAGGAGGCCGGAAAGCCCAATAAAAGGACCTAAAGATAATGACACTGAGAGTTCCTCAAGGAAACCCAACGTGGCTTAACACCCAACACAGGTGCACAAGAACTCCCAAAAGACGGGGCAGGGTCCCACTCTCAGATGTGTTCAACAGAGATCCCGGACATTTCAGGAAAGACAGACCTTCATGAAATAAGAACATGTTGCTAAATTTTGGAGGAAAAAAACAATAAAAAAGGCTCTAGGCAATTTAAAATATTGTGGTCAAAACAAAATGCTGAACAGATGTTAGAACAAAAGATTGAGAATATACCCTAGAAAGTGAAACAAAAAGACTAAGATGGAAAGGGGGAGAGATAAAGGTTAAAGAAAAAATAGAAAACCAGTCCAAGAAGTCCACTGTCCAAATAATAGTATTTCCAAAACGCAGAGAGAAAATAAAAAGGAAATAGTCAATGAATATAATGAGAAAATTCCCCCAAAACTAAACTAACCACGAGTTTCCAAACTTAAAGGAACAATGAAGCACCCAACGAAATGGATGAAAAGAGACCAAAACACACGTTTCTGAGCACTGAAGACTCAGGGAGTAAAAACAGACGGCATGCAAAGGATTAATTAGGGCGGCACACTCTTCACAGCAACGCTAGAAGCTGAGAGGACAACAGAGCAATCCCGCGACATTACCAAGTTTTTTCAGCCCGGAGTTAGAGCAGGTCGGGCCTCCGCCCGGAGCTGCGAGGGGCGCACAGAAGGCCTTGAGCCCCCTCCCCACGTGCCCCAGGCTGGTAAAGTCTGGGCAAACGCGGTCTCCGGGCGACCGGTTGCCGTGCGGACCCCGCGAGACGGCGGCATGAGGGCGCCCGGTGGGCAGGTGGGCAGAGGCGCATCCCGAGCCCGACCGCCCCCGTCCCGGTTCCAGGAAGGCCGCGCCTGGGACCCTCCTCTGCGCGGCGGGGGCGCCGGACTGAGGGCGGGCAGGGGGCGAGCACCACCTCTTCCCCACCACCCCGCCCGCAACGGGGACGCTCGAGCTGAGGAGGGGGCGCGGGGTCGAAGAGGGGCCCGGGGGAGGGGCGCTCCAGCTGTGGAGGGGGCGCGGGGCCCGGGTAGGCTGGGAAGGAGGCGCTCGAGTTGAGGAGGGGGCGCAGGGTCGGGAAGGGGGCGCGGGGCCGGAGAGGGACCCGGGGTTGGGGCACTCGAACTGAAAAGAGGGCGCGGGGTCGAAGAGGGACCCGGGGGAGAGACGCTCGAGCTGAGAAGAGAAGGTGAAGCGGCCGTTGGCTGCCCAGGCGGGGCCCGCGGTTCGCCGGTTCCCGCCGCCCCGCGAGGGGCCCCCGAGCCCCACCCCACGCCACCTCACCCCGACTCCCACCCGACCGGACCCCCGCCTCCGAGTTCACCTGCCTTACACCACCGCTGCCTCTGCCACCGCCACCGCCTCTACCCAAGGCCTAGTTCGGGGTGCCTAGACTAGGCCCACAATGCCGGCGCCAGCCAATCGCGCGCCTCGGCGGTAGTAGGGGCGGGAGCAACGCAGACATTCACCAATCCCGGACTCACCACCTGAAGTTCCTCTGCCAATAGGGAAGCGGCCCACCCAGAGGCCTGGCCAATCGCGAGCTGAGGCAGTGGAGTGGGGCGGGAAAACAGGAGGAGCTCCTAGGCGGCGCGCGGCCGCGGGAAGACGCGACCGTACGTGCCCGAGTGGGGAGGGCCTGCAGCCGGGCCGCCCTGGTCCCTGCCGGTCCTCGGCGCCCCTCCCCCAAACCCGTCCCGCCCTGTATCAGCCCTTCCCACCCCTTCCTCCGGAGCCCGCTGGGGACGGCGCGGGGCAGTCGCGTCCCAACCGACAGCAAGTGCACTGGGGAGCTACGGTGGCCTCACCCTCCGTGAGAGACGGGCTCCCCAGCGGAGGCTGTTGGGCCCCGAAGAGCTCGAGGGTGCTACCTTCGCCGTTCCCCCAGGCTTGCCCCACTCAAGGAGACCCCACCCTCCGGCACTCGTGGGTCGCACGGTTCGTGCTCGTGACTGTGTTTGTAAACCCAGGTGCTGCGACGTCGGCTGGGCGTCAGCTGCCCGTCCACAGCATCCCTCCCTCCCTGCGTCCCCGCCCGCGCCAGCCCCCGTGCGCTGAGCCTTGGGCTCACTCCTGCAGGTGCCGCGACCTGAGTGCAAGTGGTTACCGAACGAGGCACAGCAGCCACCGGCCACGTGTGACTATGGAGGGGGTAACGGATAGCCTGGCCGAGTACTGTGAACGTAAAATGCCAAACTAATATTTTTAAATAATGCTTATGTGTTCTTATAATATTTCGGATATATGGGCCAAATAAATATAAAGTTAATCCCATCTGTTCCTTTTTGCTTTTTTTAATGCAGCTACTAGAAAATTAAAATTTAATTGGTGGATTAGTTATTTCTTCCAGTGGGTGTTGACAGAGACATCTGGGTAAGGGTTCCCTATTGAAGACAAACCACAGAACCAACCTTCCTCCCTGTAATTATGAAGTGACCAAGGTCAGCTGAAAAAAAAAGGTCACCAGCAACAAGGAACATACATGCCAAAGGGCCCAAGGGAGAGACAAGATTCTGTGGGCTTAGTGGGACCCCAGTAGGTGCCAGATAATGAAAGGACATCTACACTGTTCTGAGGGATCTCGCAAATAAACCCCCACCCAAGATTTGCAGAGGAAGAATTAAGGGTGAACAGGCAGGGGAAGCTGGGCAGAGGAGGAAAATGAAAACATCCTGGTGGAAAGCAGTGAAACGAAAGGACTTCGAACACTCTCCAGAGAGGAGAGAGAAGCAGATGAGACTTCTTGTGCTCCAAGGGACTGAGGAGCAGTGAGGAGCAAGCGCAGACAACCCTCAACCCAGCCACCTAGTGTGGCAGAGCCCACTCTCTGCTGTCCTGGGTATCCTCCGCCTGTGGGAGTCAACAACAGCAGGATAAAGGCTGAAGCCCTGTAGACCCACCACCCGCCAGTGCTGGCCCAGGGGATGCAGGGGCTGGGGCAGGCCCCCTACCAGAATTCTTCCCTCCTGGGACTGCAGCCACCCTGAATGGCTTCCATCTAGTCTGTGGAAGCTTCACCTGGATTCAACTGCTTGGTACTGATATGCACTGGACTGAACTGGCTGGAACTGGTTTGTATCAGGGAGTTGGTTTGAATGAATCCACCTAGCCCCATAGCCCCATAGCTGCTCTAGGTCCTAGTGAGACAGTGACTGTGGGTGTAGTCAGAGTAAGGTGAGGGCCTCCAGAAAAAAAGCAAGGCAGGGTATTTGCAGTCAGAGCAATGTAACTACATGCAAGGAAACCCCCTACTTAAAACTCTGTGTTGAACTTTCAGCTCTAGAGTCATTCTTCAGTGAGATCAGTTGGTATACCCCAGATAAAGAAGAGTAGCACGTTTATTTTATGCTAATCATTTATAATCATGTGTAAGATTCACTTTAACATGCTAAAAGGCCCAGGCCTATGTGCTGTCTTGCCTCCTTCAGAAGTGATTTTGCAAACTGGGCAAACTAATTTAGCAGGCAAGCCCAGCCCTGACACAGTAAAAGGCAAGAAGGATTCCACCTTAAAGATACGATTGCACTTAACTTACTCTTTAGGAAACAATGCCTCAGCTTGGGGGCTGAGCAGGTGGCCTTGTTTCATATGCCCCCAGACCAAGATGCTGGTATCTCAGGGAGAAATCAACAGAGCAGGAAGTTACTTGTATCAAGGTAATTGTAAATATCCTGAGACCACTTAGTAAGTCCACACCCCTAAGCTTTTTATCATGTTCTGGAAAAATCCTCAACTCCCTATAAAACTCCCTGGACAACGCACCACCACGGACTCTTGTCCCCTCCTGGTGTGAGCTGGCAGCTCTGTCCTTTCACTTTGTCTCTAAATAAAAGCCTGTACCTTGCTTTCCTACCTTGAGTGTTTTGTGAAGCAAAACTTAGGACTTAGGATGTGGGACAGGGCTGCCTGTTTAAATGAGGTGCTCAGGGAAGGCCTGATGGCACAGGTGACAGGGTGACATGCCCTGAGGTGGCATTAGGGGCCACTAGGCTTTCATCCCCCATGTAAAGCAACAGATTATGTGGGCCCTGGTTACCGACTGGAAAAATAAGAATTCTCAGTCAGTGGGGACGATCACGGTAAGGGAACTTGTCCTGGAAACTGATGTCTAATGGGAAGGGAGACAACTCCAAGAACAAAGCTAGTTCTTCTTGAAAAAGAAAACAGAGACTTATGTGTCACCTCGATACAGAGATGAAGCATGGAATGCACCCAGAAAATGACCAGCTGCCGGCTGAAAAGTCTATGAGCCAGAGGATTCCGATGATGTGCATACATGCATAATCACACACAAACACACCCTGCACAGAAAAATGTTAGTGATTCTAGCCAAGTAGGGACATCATAGATTATTTTCCTTTTGTTATGTAATGTCCATATTTTGCCCAATGAACTCTATATTTTTACAAGATTTAAACGTTTAGAAATGGCAAATAGAGAAAAGTATAATATGCATCTTGATTCCACCATCCCAAATTAACAGCCACTAATATTTTGTCATGTTTTCTTGTTGAAATTTTATTTTTAAATAAAACTGTTCCATATGAATGAAAACCTAAATGAAAACACTCCTGTGTCTAAGGAAGATAACGAAGGAGACTTTTTTGTTCCCAGTAGTGGGGAAGGGTTTCTTAAGCAAAACCTCAAAAGCACAAACTGTACAGTGAAACATTGGTGGATCTGATTACATCAAAGTGAAAGATGTCTGCTTAAGAAACATACCACGGGCAAGCCAGCAGCCAGACAACAGATCAAAAGATACCTGCCACGTTTAACAGGTGGGTGCCACTGCTTAAATAATTGAGAAGGTCCTGCACATCCAATAAGAAAAAGACAGGAATGCAGTGGAAAAATGGGCAAAGGAAAAGGCTAACCGCGGGCAGAGAAGCCTAAACGCATAAGAATATAAAGAGACGCTTAAGCTTACGGGCTGTCAGGGCAGTGCAAATGAAGGTGAGTCCAAGTGGATAACTGGCACCCCACAACCTCACAAACCTGCCCCAAGCCCACAGGAGGGGATGTGAGGTGCCTACCCTATCACTGTGTGGAGGAACACACCCTCCCAGTGGGGCAGGGAGGGGACACAACTCCACATCTGCAGGTGGACTCCCAGGGAGACAGGTGCACCAGACACCCAGGAGAGACGGAATGCGGGTGAACCCCATGTGTCAACCTGATTGACCATGGGGCCCAGTTGTTCAAATGTGACTCTGGGTATGTATGGGAGGGCGTTCTGGATGAGGTGCACACTCGATGGGGGAGTTGGGGCCGGCAAATGGCCCACCTCAGCATGGGTGGGCCTCATCCAATCCACTAAAGGTCTGAATAGAATACAGTCAGAGGAAGAGACAATTTTCCTCAGACTGTCTTTGAGCTGGGACATTGGCCTGCTGTTCTTGGACTTGGGGCTGGACAGAACTTGGCACCCTTGGCTCTCCCCACCTCCAGCTCTCAGCCTCCATGATTGTGTGAGCCAATTTCTTGGACATAAAATATCTTCTCTATGTATATATCTCATATATATGATACAACATCATATATGTAAATATCTCCGCTATTCATCAGTATAACTATCCCATGTGTGGTTGTGTCGTGCACATACAAATACCTCCCGTGGGCTGTTTCCCTGGAGGCCCCAGGATAATAATATACACCGTCACCCTACTCACAGCATGATGCCATCTAGGCGATCACCCAAACCCTGATGCCTATTCCACAAGGACGCGTTAAGCTAGAAAGATACTCGCCACCCACACGATGCAGCTGTCTGTGGGAAGGGGGAGGTGATGGGGTGGGAAACGGCGGGAGAAGAAATGAGCCGCAGGAGGGGTCAGTGATGACAGCGCGCCTGGGGGAGGGGTTAGCGCCGCCTGGGGGTCGGGGACAGTACAGAGATTGAGGGGATTGGTAGAGCTAGGTGATAGAAGATGGACAGGTGGGCAGGGGTCAGGTAGGTGGTGGGTAGATTGCTGGTAGGCTTAGATAGGTGATAGATAGCAGATGGATAGACAGGTAGGTGATAGACGGGTGATGCACAGAGCTAAGCCCCTGCTCCCGGCTCAGCTCCGGCCTGCTCCCCGCAGGAGGCAGGCGCTCGCGGCCCGGCCTTCCGCGGGCCCAGCGGCCCGGCCCAGCGGCTCAGGCGCACGCGAGTATCGCCCGCCCGCCGCTCTGCTGGGGCAGGACCGGATCCGAGCACCCGACAGGAGGTCCGAGCCCGAGATGCGGGCCTACTGAACCCCGCAGCCTGCGGGAGTTGGTGGACTTGAGACGCCGCCGCTCCGAGCCGTCACCCCGAAGTACAGCTTCTCAGTCACAGAGCAACAGAGACAGGAACGAATTATCTCTGTGATGAGCGACTGATGTAATGCGGTTATGTTTTACAGTAGAATTATTCTTTCATATTCAA